TGCAGGTGCTCGATCCCAGGAAATCCCATCAAAATGAACACTGCTGGACGGAGGCTGGAGGTGTTGACAGCTGGCATGACTCTCTGTTGCTTCCTGCACACACAGCTAGATAGAAAGCAAGAGTTCTTTTACACACAAATAAACACTCAAGCAAATTCATTTTCTCTTCATTAGAAAATCACCCTCATTGTCAGTATCTCAGAATTTTAAGTAGGTAGCTGTGTTAGGTTCTTCGGGTAAGAAGAAGGCTCTACAGCTGATTCTTTTTTTTTCTTCTCTTTTCAACATGGAATACATTTTACAATTTAGTTTGTTTCCCTTTCCTGAAAGGAATAACACATTTTTTTTTGTATTTTAGGATTAATTCTCTTTTACAATTTTCATTTAACCTTCATTTGGGCACATGTAAAATATAAAACTTCTATGTCAGTGTGGCTATCATTATGAAAAGCAAAAAGATAGATGTAGAGAAGAGAGAACTCACCAGAGTTACAGGTTCTTCAAGGAACATCCGTTAATGCAGCAATATAAAAGACTTCTAAATTCCTTCTGGAGTATTGAAAAGTACTCAGAGAATTACAGCCTGTTTGTTTTGCTGCATAGAATACCCTTTTGGGTCATGACTTCTCAAGAGACATGACTTCAAGTGTTTAGATTTTTTTTTGTTTCTGCATGAATAGCTTATAGTAATACTGTGATTGAGTCACATACGGGTTACATGAAATACATTTTAAGCACATTTCAAGTTATTCATTTGTGATTCAAAGACTCAGTATTAAAGTATTTATATCCCATGTAAAGTATGAAATCTGGATCTTTAATTTTTTAGCCAATATTTAAGGAAAAATGACCATGTGTCACATATAAATTATCTAATTAGTCAGCATTGTGTTTTTTTTATAGTAGAACATAGGTTGCTAGTCTAGACCATCACTTTAATTATTCCTCTACATCCTACCCTAATGATATCTAATAAACTCACTTGAAATCATTAAATAAGAAGCCAGCCTAAAGTAATTTAGGAACATGTGGAATCTGTTGGATTTTTTTAGGGCTATGGAAATTTTTTTTCTAATATGGAAACTGTCTATTTGTACAAGTTTAGCATTTTTTTGGAATCACTCAGTTTTTTTGGCATCACTATGACCTGTGAATGACTATAGCTGGCAAGAAAAAATGAAAAGGGAAGCATCTAAAACTCACAGTAATGTTTATAACTAAAATATACATAAATATTAACTGACATGTTCCTTTACAAAATAGTCAAAAAGTACCATGGTTAGCCTAAAGATTTAATGTAGGTGTTTCACGTGGCCCTAATTCTCTTTTGCGTTGACTAAGAAAATAGAGAAAAACACACCTTTTGCTACAGTACATTTGTACAATTTAAATCTTCCCCTTTCAGGCCCAATTTGCAGAAAATAATTCTTATCCATTAATTTTTAGCTGCACTATGTACAGTACAGCAGATGAGGTCTGTGGATATACTGTATGGCATGTTTCTAAATATTTTTATTTATTTTTGTTAAAGTGCAGTTGGTAACCACAGTACAGTATGTGTTCCTCTGTATTCTAAACCAATTGAAGGCCAATGTACACAAAAATAAGCAATTAAATTGTTTGTTGTTTCCTTGATTATATACAGTATACATAATGTAGTTTACTCCTACAGTAATCTGCAATTACAGCCACAATAATGAGATTTGCCTAATGCCTTAAAGAAGTATTGGTAGAAAGTTATGAAGTAAGAACCAAACAAATAATTTATTTTGTCTTCTGTGTAGTAGAGGCCTTGCCAACAAAATATTTATTTGTGATGTAATCTTATTTTTACTATATTTGTACAACAATATAGCAAAAAAAATAGATCTTTCTCCTGTTTTCCTCACCTCTAATCATGCCCACTCCATTCTAAGAAACATTAAAATTCTGCTTTCAATTAAATAGACCAACAACAATCAATATTTAGCTGAGAGTTCAATTGGAACTTGTGGGAATTGTGTTTGAGTACTATATAGGAATTTGGAAAATTATAAGACTAGACACTATACTGCTAGTTTGTTCTTTTAAGAAGTTGTGACTTCTTAAGACAGAAGCACAAGCACAGTGATTCACAAAGTTCATAAACTTACCTTGTGTTTCACTTTTTTAATTTTTCAATAGTCCTTTAATATTTATTTATTCGAAATGAAATGAATCAGTGCTGATTAGTACTGATAGTATAAAGAACTTAGGATTTGCTGGTAAAACTTTATATAAGGGGCTATGCATTTTGTTTATATATTTTTATAAGCTGTAAGATAGTGAGAGACTATAAATAAATTGTTAATAAAAGGATAAAAACTAGTCTCCCAATAAAAAATAACCCCTAAATGCTTTATTAATTAATGTTTATAAATCATAAAATGTTGTTTATATATTTAAAAATGGTTGTATGGACCTCTTTAACTAAAAAGTTTTGTATTAACCTGATCAAAAGTTTTGCATCGTGACTACACAATGTATATCAGCTTTAATAAAACAATGTAAAGGAGTAATGCAATACATTATTTAAACTATAATTATTTATTAAGACTTGACAGAATAGTCAAACATCACAAATACATCCCAGAACAAAAAGAAACAAAGTGATATTTTGAACATGGTACAGAGAAATTGCATTACAAAAATATGATGCGTTTGGAATCAAGAAGCATATAAAACCACATTTTCGTCTCATAAATACTAAAACCTTCAACGTGTTTGATAGTTCCAAACACTAGCTCTAACACTAAGCTCTATTATAAATAAGAAAGCGTCATCTTTAAGAAAGATCATTTTAAGTAACATGGAGAGCAGTCATGGAAGAACAATAGGCATATCTATTCAATGTAAACATTTTGCTTTATTTTCCTTACATTAATGGGTTTAGGGATTACTGCACTTTGTATCAGTGTGGAGTGCAATAAAATAAGAGTTTCTCATTGGTAAGAAATTATTAATTTTGTAAAATTAGGCACATTTTTCATAAAGTGATATGCACTTGGAATTACATTTGCAGAAATAATTTCAATTTTTTCTTCAGAACGTACAACAACAAACTGGGGAGTTAGTAAGAGATCCCGTAGTAAGTAGTGTTGCAAAAAAGATTCTTTATTACTTTTTCCTTGAGGCTTATTTAAAAAAAGGTATGGAGGATATATGTACTGGTTTATTGTCAAAAATGTGTTATTCTATAAAAAAGGACATTTTGTGACATTCAGATGGAAATATTAGCGAGGAGAGTGTTTTCTTTGCATTCAGCATTTGTATTAGATCTTCCAAACTGGGAATTATTTAAAACCTATAATATCATTTGTACTGACCATGTTTAGAGTTAAAGATGTTTCTGTTTTGATCATTTCAAAATTTTGCATTTTTCAAATAACTGAAATTGTTTTGAAATGTGTTAAAATTATAATGCCATTAAAAACAATACACAGTAATAGACGTTTGGATACTGCAATACAGCTAATAGATCTTATGAAACACAAAGAAATTTAAAGACCATAATAAAATTCTTATCGAAGCTTCACTGTGATATAATTGCCAGTATTAATAACATTTTAAATCAATATTAAAATGACATCTGACTGCACGCCAAGTCTGATGCATTTACATTGTTACTGTTCCTTTTTTTCTGTAAAGGGAAAATGCTTTAGAATATTGTGTGAGACTTTTACCATAAGATGAAAAATCAAACTGAATGCTATTTCCTAAATATTTTATTAAGTAAATAAGTTATTTAATACTGAATTTATTTTAAAAAAAAAACTAAATTTCAGAAAGAACACATATGACGTGAAAATGGAGAAGGAATTTGTTTAAAATGTCCCTGCAGAACTGTACCACACTTCTGTTCTGTTGATGAGTATGTGTATGGACACAGAAACTAAACTCCATGAATCCAAAAACCATTTGAAATCTTGATAGCGATGGACCATATGTTCAAACAAAAGTAGAATGCTGATATTTATACTATCCTTTAAAAAATGATGGTGAGTTCACTAGTGTTTCTGTTCCAATTATTTTCAGATGTTTGGAAAAGCTCTATTAAAACAATGTCATCATAGTGGGGGGCTAGTTGTAGAGAAGATGTTAGTTACAATGGGTGTGCTATTAGAGGCCATAAGGCTTCTATTGTCTGTGTAGAGGTTCACATGAGGTGCATTGTTGATTTAATTAGTTAATTAATGGAGAGCCAAGAGCCACATTCTCACATGGGCATAATTTAGACTGGTATATAAAAGGACTCATCAGGGGCAGTTGGTGTTGTCTTTCTTTAAGAATTATTTTTTATTGAGGTGCATGAAGACAATTTGCAGTAAGCAGTAAACAGGGTCACTGAACTAGTATAGATCTAAATAAAATTTAAAAAACCTTAGCAGAAAATAATGTAGATGTAGAATACAAAGTGAAACGCTGACATGGTTTAAATCTACCACTCTTCATTTAATTTTCTGAAATTTTACATTCCTTTTTTACCAGACATAAAGTCCTGAACACGTGTTACAGCAAGGCCACCCTTAGTGTACTCAGCTAATGTAATGAGTGATAACTCCAAGCCAGACTGCACCATCTCCCATCCATGGCTGCTCAGTTTGTCCTCATCACCAACAAAACTACTGACACTGACACAGTGTGACTGCTTTCTCTTTCCCCAACCGTTTCACTTTAATTAAATGTATATTTTATCCATGTCTTCAGATTTCTTCAGAAAGTGGAATTACAACATTATTGGAACTACATTTGATAGTCCAGGATAGAACCTTCTGTTGATTTATTTTTGCTTTTTAATGTACAGATTTCTGCTGTTATTTACAGGAGCAAATCTTGGTCTATATTTAATGTTGCACTTTGCCATTTGTTATGTATCCATCCACCAAAAGTTGGAAGAAAACAAAAGTGCCAATAACAGCAAATCATTGAGTCTTACTTCTCTTTTGTTAGGTCCAAAATATGTAAATTGGTTTAGAAAAGTATCTTGAGATGCAGTCACTTCTAAACAGATCTACTTTTTTACCAGTCTGCGGAAGACAGTATCAACCGTGGACGGTACTGTAGTTTGATATGGTTTCCAAAAAAAGATAGTTTTTCACTTTTATTATTTATTTGTTCATTTTATTTGATTGGTTGTATAACGTAAGTTTTTAGAAGAGTACTTTACTACATTAATAATGCTTAAGAACAGCTAACCCTTTTTGAAGGGCTTACTGGAGATAGACTTCAATGTGACAATCCTTTTGTGCAAAGTCACATGTTTTGTAAAGGCAAAGGCAAACATTACTGACAAGGGACTCTGTTCTTCATCCCTCAGCTGAACTGAGCATGTCTCCCGTCTGCCCTATGACTTGTAGACTGGATACACGTATATCATGTTACAAAAAGCAACAAGAAGTTAGTCAGTATTTCTTAATGCTTGTACTGTATTTACCCTCAATCAGATTCCTAAAAACAAATGAAAAAATCTGATATATTCCGTTTTGAGTCTCACAATGAAATGCAGGTATAACAAAGTGGCTCAGAGGAGCACTGTGCTGCTGAGTGCCCCTTGGTCTGGTTATCACAATTCAATTGATATATTTTCTACCGCTTGTATTGAGAATGAGTTCTTTTTGTTTGCTTGCCTTATATCATTGTGTTTAGTCAAAGACAAATGTGAACATGAACAAAAGAATGGCACCACTGTTTAGAATAAAAGGATTCCCAGGCTCTAGGTTATCTGCAGCTTCTGGTACCTCTGTGTACCAGTGTCACAGTACAGAACAGAACTAGTCCCGCCTGTTTATCTGTCATTTAGTTTGGGCGAGTTTGCGCCTTCGTCTTCCTCATCCTTGTCATCCTTTGCACCTTTAAGTCTCTGCCGAGCAAAATCTTCAAATACGATGTCATCATCACTAAGAAAGAAGAAGTGATTGGGCAGGTTATTTTTTGTGTACATGATACGATTTTCTTTCCAATCCATACAGATTGCACTGTGTTGGAAAAGAAAATGTACTTGCTATTTCACAACACTAGCCCTTACACAAAATAATACAACAGCAAAGGAACAGGTTAAGGTTTATTCCATTCTGAAAGGAAAAGAAAAAAGAAACAATCTTTCAACTGTGGAGCTTACAACTGAAGAAGGCTCCACAGCCAAGAGATTGTTTCTCTTTCTCCTTTCTTTTTAGTCTCTATTCCTTTTTTCAGCATGGAATAAACCTTCACCTGTTCCTTTGCAGCTTATGCATGCTGATACAGGGGCAGAGCGGTGGCACTGTGGCAAAGGATCTGTGCCTGTGGCTTTAAGGTTGCCAGTTCAAATCCTGCAGCTAGCAGAGGAATCCTACTCTGTTGGACCCCTAAGCAAGGCCCTTAACCTCAACTGCTCCAGGGGAGCTGTATAAATGGCTGACCCTGTGCTCTGACCCCAAGCTTCTCTCTCTCTCTGCCTGTGTGTCTTATGGAGAACAAGCTGAGGTATGCAAAAGGACAAATTCCTAATACAAGAAATTGAATATGGCCAATAAAGTGATCTTATCTTATAGCTGCCTATATGAACTAATACAATTACAGTTTTACAAAAATCATATTTTTTCATACTTACAATAACATTTTATTACCTGCTGTTGATAAATAAAATAAATAATATTGTTCTTAATTAAACTTAACATAATAAATTAAGATTAATACAATTTCAAGTCACTGCCAGTGGCACCATGTTCAGGCTCTTTAATTCTGGAGTGTGCTCGATATTAAAAATGCAACAGAGTTCTTCCCTTTTCTCTGTCACTGGTGTGGAAAATTAAACAATTTCTGCCTGTGCTGATTTTATTTCTGTATTTTAGATGTTTAATTTGTTTTGCATAAGACAAGGATTTGTCTTATTATTTTAGTAAAGACAGAGACAAAGTTAGAAAAGATAGCGTTTGACTTTAAGACTAAGCCGCTTAATGCGTACTGCCATGTTCCTAGAGTGTGCAAGCCATCCCCAAATGACAGTGTCTCACATAAAACCAGAAACGCATGCCCAAATCTGTTACCATAAGACAAACGTGCATCAGTGCGTACGTACTTGCGTTTATCCGCTGTTAGTGCACATGCAAGATGGTGAAAAGATGAGAAGAAGAAAGGATGCAGTTTGGCCAAAGGAATAAAAAGAAAGAGAATGAAGTGCAATGCAAGGTTAGTTAGCCATGCAACACCCAGGCTGAGCAAGCTTCACTCACAAGCAGACTGCTTACTTGGTATCGAACTCTATCAGATTTGTGTCTATGGGTGCTTCATTTTCTGGAGCTAAGATAAAAATAAAAAGAAGGCTGATGACACAGCAGAATATTTATTGTGAAAATTAAGGCCAAGGTAAAGAATGTCTTTAAAACAACTTAATAAATTATACAGAGTTCATCAGGCCTTCAGTTTTTTTTAAAGCATCTACCGTATAGCCTCCTTGAAGTACACTTCAAATAAAAATATAAGAAAAATATCTTGGTGTTTTGTACCACATTTCCTGTTTGTTGTACTGTACATTCAGCACTGATAGAAAAAGATCAGAAATGCTTCACCACTACACATGAAAGAACATGTGTCTAATTTAATATAAGATATACTTTATTTCATAGCAAGAATTAACCACCATGGAATTTCTCATTGGAATCACACGCACTGTCCTTTACTGGCTCTGCTCAGAACTCGAAACATCTAAATGTTTTTTGAATGAAGTAAAAGTAAACAACCCCTCCACCTATAAGTTGTCTTCTGCACACTGCTTTGGGATTTTTATAATGAATTTACAGATGGCATTTGAGTGTCATTTATGTATTTCTGCTGAATGGTGACACTTCAGTCAAGCCCACCCATCAAGAGCTGTACTGTACGTACCATCTCTGTAGAAGCTTTCTTCAATGGGTTTAGGATGCATTAATGTGAAGGGAAGCTCAACAGCAACATCGCTGAAAAAGGAGAACAGAAAGCCATTGTAACCTTTGCTGGTAGATATAAAATATGCATATTTGCTGTCTATGAAAATAAATAAAATTTAAAAAATTGTCTCCTTAAAAATAGATTTTCTTTTTCTGTCTTTCAAATTGAAGAAATATTTTCTTTGTCATTGAGCGGGAAAAAAACAACATAACCCTAGAAAACATTGGTAATGATTACAAACTTTAATCAAGGATATGGATAAATTAGCATCCAATTTTGTTATGTAAAGTTGATTTAATTATTTAAAATAATAATGATACTCTTTTTATTTTAAAGCTAAGAGTTTGCCTTAATAGAACATTATCCTCAATAAAACATAAATCCTATTCTAAATACAACTTATGATCTAAAATATTTTTCTTTAGTTTTAAATAATGGGGTATTAAATAATTTACAGGATCCATTGAACAAGATTACTAATAAACAGTTTTGAAATGAAAACTCCTACTGTATATAAGAAGTCTAATAATCATGGGAATCATCAGATTTAAGTAAGGACTGCATTTCCACCTATAGATTAAAATTTCACCCGCCTTGGACCATAGTTTTATGTTGAAAGATGCATGCAGCATGCTTCATAGGGGACAGAGAAGTGCTGCCTGTTTCTTCAGTAATGAACAAAGTGTTTCCTTGCGTCATGGTTCAGCTCCACACCAGGAACACTCAGTGCAATGATGAAATGATGAACATGCAGATGGCTTGACTTGTACTGTCAGCAGTGGTTTCAAACCTGAGTATCTCAAATATTCATTTTACTGGATCAGAAGTAATGATCATTTATTTAAATGGTGTAGTGTCGAATGGGATATTTACACTGTCAGAATTTTCAGGAGATCAACGGACGGTAAATGTAAATTAAACTGGACATCTTTGCTTGTGCACCTACATTGCAAAACTGGTAAGACATAAAGTAATAAGTAATTAATTTAGTTTTAATCTCCTAACACACATTACTATTACAGTGTTTCAAAAGAGTCATACATGAAGAGTTGGTTCTAATAACAGCAACTTGCAATCAGTTTACTGCAGCTTCAGTCCTTCTGCATAGCGCTGATGAACTGCAGAGAAGGGCAGTCAGCGTTCAGGATAAAGAGATGAACACATCTCAGTGCTGTAATTACACTGAATAGTGCAATTATCTCTGATGATTATTTCATGATCCCAGTTGAAAAGCCCAAAACGTTTGTTCTTCATGGGGCACCGAATCAAGAGGATATCTGCCATTTTATTAGGAAAAGGCCTTGTCATATTTCTGAATAGAAACCCAAATTAAAAACCACTGATTTATGATGCATGATGAGACAGCATCCCTTTGTCAACTGTATTAAGACTGTTACTTACAGTGTCAATAACTGTTAAGAATCATGGATATGTGCAAAAACAGGCTGAAATATTTCTAAGGAAAAGCTGGAATATACAGTAGTGCTCTGACAAAGATATTTATCTGGTAACATTTATTTTAAAGTAGTAACATAATAATGTTAATTGCATTATTTATGTAATATATGTCTATGAATTAAGTTACTGATGCTCCATAATTTAATACAGATTATTTAATGTTGAAATAATAGTTCTAATGACTTCTCTGAAAAACAAATATAATATGTGCATTACTGATGACCTTATTACTGTATTTCAATTAACACATACCTGTAGCAACATTTTACAGTTACTTTATAACCTTTTTTTATTTACCATCTATTAAAATATCCTAAGGGGTCACTTATACTAACATAGCCTAGTCTACTATAACTTTACTGTCCTCAGGAATTAAGAGACAAATCATGTACTGGGTCATTCCCTTTACTTTGAACAGAATGTGTTTCTCTTGGGGAACATTCAGTTCTCTAATAATTTGGTAGGACAGCAGTATGTAAGCATAACAAAACTTTTAAATGGAGGATTATAATATTAAATGGTATAATGAATTATTTGTTATAATGAAACACTACAAGGTGACAGTCCTAATAGAGTTTTTAATATAATTAATATTGGTGTTATTCATTAGCAATGAACTTGAGTAGTGGCATGCAATCTGTGATTACGTTAAACAGAGGTTTTCAAGTTACCTTGATGCAAGGTCTCCCAAGAGTCTGAAAGTGTTGAAATATTATCACAACATATTGAAATATTATTACAACAGACAAAAAAAATTTGCAAATACAATTATCTTAATATTTAAATTTGAGGCTAAAAAGGAGTGCGGCACTTTCTTTAACAATTACTTGCTAAGATTATTATCTACAAATACTGTGTTTAAAGCATCTGCCAATGACAAGCTACCTATGAAAAAAAAATTGTACATTAGAGCAGATGATGTTTGTTTCCATACGAACTGAAATATGAAGTTTTATCGTACAGTATAACATGTGCAGTGTTCTATTTGTAATGTGCAAATCTGCAGAAAACTATTACAATGCAATGAAGCAACAAACAAAACAAAAAACGCACCCGCCTCGAGACACAACCAGCTTCACTTTGACTTTATAAGACACAATGATGCCCAGGATCTCCTTGTTTGCACCTTCCCTTAACCTGTAAAAGGCAACAACACATCGATTACAGGGCAGCACCATCACTATGTCACCTGCTCTTCGAGGTATTGGGTTTCACGCTCGTCTCTGCCCAACTGGCAGCGGTCTTTCTTGGGACTTGAAGAACCGCACAGACATACTCACAAGGTGCTGGAAGCCAGATTTGTGTCCTCGTGTTTGAGTTTTCCATCCAAGGCCAGACCACGCTTCTCACGGTTGTTGGCGAGAAAGGGGGTGAGCGTGTAAACTTTGCAGAAGGTGGCACTAGGAGCTACGATGTCACTGCAGAAACAGACAGTGTGCTGCAATGGAAAAATTGTCTCTGCGGGCTGATATCAATTAATATCTTGTTTTTATGGAGCTAAACATCCTTCAAACAATCATTTCTGTTCTAAGGGTTTATCAGCACTTTCTCCTTCTACACACAGTGTACCTTCCACTGGGTGATTTTAAAGACAAAAGGAAAATTCTAAACATCCAATCATTTATTAACCTATATCAATTATTTGTACAAGATACTCAATGATCGGTGAAGAAAAGGAAAGCAATCATGAATGATGATCCAGGTTGCCATCACAATCTCAAAAGCAGTTATTGCTTTTGGCAATAGCTGATAGCAACATTTGCTGTCATTAACTGATAGCAATGAATCGTCAATAGTTTTTTCTAACCTACACTTTTAAACTTTTTAGCATTGTGCTGCCAAAATTTATAGTAATTATTAGCTTCATCACAAACAGTATTTACAGTATATTTTACCACTTAGGCCAAGAAATATGTAGGGGTGCTAATAAGCGGTGTGTATAAAGCCAACACTGCAACATGTTAAATTAAGCAATACCCAAACCTTAATGCAACACACAATCTGACTCTGTAAACATCCAAACAGCATTTGAAAATACAATTAGTATATGACAAAGTTTACAAAAAACTTACTCTGACTCTTCAGTTGCAACTGGGCACTTATATTGTGCTGTGTTGAATAGGCAAATATCTGCATACTGACGCACTGCATGGGCAGACAAATGAAGGATTACATATACTGTATGTACTTTCAATGCAGAGAACAAGGTGAAATGAGAAAAGCTTAAGCAGCTCTGTCTCCTGTAGTGTTGTGATTTGAGTCAGAAATATCCCTACCTATGATACTTTGCATCTGCTGCCAACTAAAATGCAATGGTGTTCATATTAAATTACATATAATACAGCTTTCTTTTAAAAATCCACAAAAATACACAGTTAAGGTAAGGTAATAATCATTATATATAAGTATTTATAGAACTGTTTACAATATATAATACAGTTAAGTTGTTAGAATTGATTAACGATATTGAAATCGTTTTCATTATAGAATATACAGTATACATAATTTCAGGAACTAATAAGATACCTGAGATCTTAATTTTCTTCACTGTCTTGTTTGTGTTGTTTGTGACATGAACATTTACATTAATTGGTTCCCCATGGTAGTAAATCTGGAAGGTAAAGAGGAAAACATGTCTTTTCACACATAATGTGTATAATTTTTGTTACGTATAAATAACACACTTTTTTCCTTGGTTGACAATATCTGCTTCATAAGTTTTTACACTTACTCCAAGAATAAGGAAAACTGATATCTTTGTTTCATATGCTCAGTATTACTCAGTTTGAAAATCATGCTCACTATTCTCCTGGTTTGAATTTACATCTATGGGCCCATAGAGGTCAGTATTGTCTAAAACAACAGTCACGCTTTCTTTTCAAATCCATTAAAATCTATAGAAATGTATTCCAGTTCTTTGAAGGTATACTTCTTTATAATCATTATAAACTTTAAAAAATTATAATCCTATAACTTTATAGGTATGTATATGTAGTAAAAGTCTTACTTTGATAGTGCCCTATTTTAACCTTTATAATTATTAGTAGTGTCATTATATTTAAGTACTGGAGGTCCCATTAAGAAGCAGCGTTTTAATTAGTTCCAAGGGGTGTAATTCATTCAGAAATTCAATTTCTCACAGTCACTGTTGTCTCACCTCTTTGTCTAATGAAGCCTCAAGATGAAGAGGTTTATCAGACATCAGGAACTGCCGCGTTGTCTCCGCCATAGGTTGTGGTCCAGGTTTTTCTGGGGCATATTGCACTTTACGTATCACAAGACGTACTGAATTCCTGTATGGCAGAAAAACACGTTTCAGAATTTATGGCATTGCAAGCAAAGTATAGATATTATAGCCAAAAACATATGGTGTCCAGCAATATAATCAATATAATGATATAGATATAATGACTGCGAGCAACAGCCAGTTGTACTGTTTATCTCAATCATAGATCTTTTTAAAAATCACAATGTAACTTACAGTGAGTAAAATATGTTGATAAGAATCTTGGGAGCTTTCAATTAAACCTGATCAGCAGTAGTGATTTACTGTAGATGTGATTTGAGCACTACAACATGTTCTCATCCACTTTTAAACCACCCCTTTGTTCTCTTAATTACATTCAATTAACTTGTGAATGAATGACAAATTTTGAAGTATTGGAAAATGTATGCAATTATTCATTCAAGACAGTGAATCAAACAAGGTACTGCAACTTAGTGCTCGAGGTATTTTTCATCTCTTTTAAGCGATGAAAAGCTTATAAAACTGAGTAAAATAGAACACATGAGTTACAGTGCCCTACAAAAGCAAGGTAATTGTGAAGTCTCAGAAGCATAAACATGAGCAAGGACTGTTCTGAAACAAGACTTATGTTTACCAAAGTGATGGAAGAGTTAAATTGTGGAGAAAGAAAGGAACAGCAGATGCTACAAAAAGATGCTACATTTGTTTGGCATGGGCACACATGTCCGCCTCTGGAACTGGCCCACTTTTATCTTTATTGATCATGTAACTAATGATGGAAGCAGCTGAATAAATTCTGAAGCTTACAGAACCACTTTGCCGGCTTATGTAGACCAAAATGCTTCCATACTTGTTGGGTGTCACTTCACCACTGAGCTTGACAAAGACTCAAAACATATGGTTCATACAATCAAGGCCAAGTCCATCTCCAGATTTCAAGCCAATTGATAGGAAATTCAAATGCTGAAGAAAGAAATGAAGTCAGAACACCCCAAGCATATGCAAAAATGCTGGAACTGGACCAAAGGCTTGGCAAAGCGTCTGAAATGATTGTACAAAGAGTTTGGTGAGATCAGCTTCATGCTGAAGTTCTCAACGCAATACACATCCAAATACTGACATTTACTCTTTGAGGCTTAAAGTTAGTGTGTCCCAATATGTATGGTCATTTGAACACAAATTATGTTTTTTTTAATGCTATGATCACATGGAAATACACATAATCTCTTGATTACAAATACAAATGCTTGACTATAATAACAGTAGTTGACTTTGCTGTCCCAATACTGTACGTGAAGGAAAAGGACAGACTACATATCAGAATCATTTAGCCACCACAAAAAGAAACAGGTAACAATATGGCAGTAGCTGCAATTTTTACAAGGAAGCCTGAGCATACAAAAACACCCACTTTGGCTAGAACACCCCTAACAGACTCCAAAGGCAGAAAAGGTGTGCCAGTCATTTTAGGTGTATTTTGAAATACAGTAATTGGTTGGAAATGGCACTTCATTTTTCAGCTTATTAGAATGCACTGAGCACCTCAGGATGCAAGGAGGCTGGCTGGATTTATATCTTACCCATTGCAGTAGTAACTATTCTTCATTACGATTCTTCTCATCTAGCAATTCACATGCTAATTCTAACTCCCAGAAGGTGCCACTATACTGCATGATACATCCACAAGACTGGAATTTATAATATTATGTTTTCTGTCTGAAGCTCTGTATATCTCACTTTTTTTAATGCTGCTATGTCATACAAGAGCAGTTTTAGTATTTGTTTAACATTAAATTTTGGCATTGTTAGAGGTATTTTGGGTAGACTCTTCTCTTTTCATTTTATCTGAATAAATCATATATTGTAAACTTTCAGATGAGTAAAATGGTAGTGTACTCTAAAAACTGTGGAATACTACTAAAGTTTAAAAATGGATTGAATGATGTCAGAAAAAAAATACTGAAATACTGAATCATATCTAAGTACAGATGACAAGGGTGGACAGTGATACAGAACTAAAATTTACTAAGGATCAAATGATAAATTCCACTGAACACTGGATTTCTTAGTTGCACAGTGATGCCTTTGTACCTTTTATGGATCTTTTCTTCAAGGTTTTCTGCACAGAAAGCTTTCACTTCAAAGTCTACGCCACACGCCTTCAAAAGCGAAGCAAACAAAAAGAAGAACATGGCGAAGGAACAAAGGAAAGACAAGAGAAGTATGTCTTAGTAGGGAAATAAAAAGTCACAGCATGCTTTTCTGTCCAATTACAAAAAAGGAACTTCAGTAGGACTTTAGGAGGCAAGGCCAGCTACAGTAATTCAATCATGTGATCGGAGTAATGGGACCTCTTACGAAAAAGTCACTAGAAAAAAATTAGTCACTGTGAATCCTCGTAAAAGTTAGGACTGTGGCTTGGAGGTCAGTCCTGAATTCAGTTTCAGACTGCAGCAAATTCTGTGTGGCATATGCATGTTCTCTCTTGTGTGGGTTTTTCCCATGATCTCTTACCTTCCAGAGACATGCTGGCTAAGCGAATTGGTGTCTGTAAATGGTCTCTATGAGCTTGTGTGTGTGTGTATACCCTGTGATGAACAGTGCAGGTATCCCATCCAGAGTGTAGTCCCACCTGTACCCTCTTCCAGGTTGGGTTCCAGGTTGCTATGACTCATTTTCTGATGTATATGGGGACTGATTGTATAAGAGTATATAAGGTATTTACTGACACACTCTGCTAATAGCTCTAATTAGAACTAAGACAAAACTGCATTATGTTATCACAGGAAGTACTGTATTATGTTATTACCTGAATCCTTAATTAAGGTTTTTTATTTGGTGGTAGAAGTGAAAGAAGAAGAGTAGAGGTTCATAAGAAAAGAATCAGAGACTTTAAACGCAAGCAGCAAAACACTAGTCTAAAAAATAGACCTCTCTGAACTCCCATAAAGTACAACAATATTCATAATTTCCTCTTCAAATCTGTCTCCTGCACTCATACTAATATTATTTTTGGATTTGAAACATGAAAAATGTATAAACATGAATAGTGAGGTCCCACAGCACAATTTTATCTGTGTTGTTTAAGGTTTATTCAGTTGCACGTTATCTAGGAATGTGTAACCGCTGAGAATACTTTGTGGAGTTGACAAAGCACAGAACTGGTTCAAAATTTTAGTTATTCTCAACACAATGAAATTAAGTCCAAGGTACCTTTCCCGTGTCTTCTGGTCCAGGCTGAAGGGTGACTGAGCAAGGTAGGTTGGGGGGAATCTGCAGAAATAAAATGGAAATCTAAGTAATGATCAATGTTACAGATGAGGCAATATCAGTATTTCAGTGCTCAGAGTGTTTCCATACTGTTAATTTACTTCTTTGCACCACTATTCTGTCACATCTCAAACTTATAACGCACCTTTGTCAGCATTTAATCAAGTGAAGAGCAAGTTAGTGTTGAGAACAGTCTTTTTGTAAAGCAGGTAATGAAATTCAGGTTAAAATTATAGAGTATATATGAGATCCAGAGCAGCTGGCAGTTTCATATTTTGGAAATTAGATTGCCAAATATTTTCAAATAACAGCTCTTTAAAGTTCGCAGAAAACTATTTTTGGTCACAATTCCATCTGAGATGTGTTTATTCTAAAATCAAAAGATTATCCTTGACACCTTGTGGCGATTCTGCGCTGTGATGCATGCAAGCCAAGGTGAGAGAATGCAAAGCCTAGCAAAGGAGCATAAAGAAAAACTGACTGGCTGAGAAAGGGAAAAATGGCACAGAAATGCCACAGAATTATACCTCAAAGGTAAATGGGTAGGCGTGTTCCCCCAGCTTTTTAATGAGGCGCTCCTGCAGACGGGTCAGAGGCTTCTTTTCTTCAGGCACTGGAGGGAAGGCCTGAATGTTGGCCACAAAGAGGTCCTTTCGGAAGGTCAGACCCAGAACATCCAAGTCCTCACGTCCATACCGGAACGCACAGGTCAGCGTCACAAACACTGAGGCAGAATGAGATAACGTTTTCTCCTGGGAGCGGTTTAAAACATGGCCTGTTTTGTTGTTTCATGTTCACTTACTGTCCCCAGCTATTGCTATTAAGACAGTGAAGTCACGGTGAAAACGGTAACACATTGAAAACTTTTCTCAATGAGACAGTGAAAACTACTGAGTGTCTCTGTAGGGTTTGATGTTAACGTAACTATCTTCATGTTAAAGAAAGAGGACAGACCAAACCTCATGTAGAATGTTTATTTAGATGATTCTCACATTCTTACATCCTCACACAGCTGGGTGTCCAAATCTACCTCCTATGTTGGTGTCTTAAATATATTTTGTGTCCTTGTCATGAACCTTTATCTCAACACAAAAGAAACCAGGCAGTGCCTGGGTGATAAAATGCACTGGGAATTGTTTGTGTTTTAGAGCTGAGAAATGTCCAAACAACACTGAGCTACACTGTGACTTCTTGCATCCATTCAATAAAGTGGTTCCATGAAGTAATTTAAAACTGCACTGTGTTGAAATGTCTTCAGGTCACATTTTACACATTCCAAACATTTTGTACCTCAAAACAGGGTCATTATGTGTGTTAGGCATCTCATGAAAATGATAGGTTTGTAGGAAAAGAGGATCGGTGAGCAATACAAGATTTACCATGTCACACATCTGGTTAACCTGTCGTACAAGCCTTTCAATACCTCACAGTTTTTTTAATTTGAGAAACAGAAAGAACAATTTCAATTAAAACTTATGTTAAATTCTGTACATAGCCAAATACAATTACAAGGAGCACCTTTTTACTCTTATTCCATGTAAGAAAACACTCTGAAATTCAAAATAACTCTGATCTTAAACCTTGGTATAAACAACAAGCCAGGCTGTGAAAAAAGTCCAATTTAAAGCTGGATAAAAAGATATTCAAGGGGATATTTGCTGGGATGTAGGGGGTCAAGATACAGTGAACAAAGCAATCATAAAGTTTACCTTAGTTTACCTTAGTTCATTAGGTTTGAGGTAAATTATTAAGTGTCAATCAACAGTCCAGAAAGATACCATAAAAGATAATATTAAGACAGAAAAGAGGGGAAGAATAGACCACAGAGAGAGAGTCAGAAGGAGACAGACCATAAGGCATATGCCAGACAAGAGGTCCTATTTAAATCCTTGCTAAGAGAGCTTGCTATTCTGTTTTTAGGAAACTCTGATTTCCCGAGTAAAGAATCCCTTCATGAAAAATGTCCTCTCCTGCTTAGTGCATGCATTTAGAATAGGGAGATAGTTTCTGTTTGTTTTGTGGCATTTTGGTTTTCAGAGATAGAGATTTAGCCAGGTTGTATTCTATTGAGTTCCGAAGGCAGTATATCTATTATTCTGGTCTTTGTAAGCGTAAAGAGTTAAATACGTGGTAAGAGTCTGGAATTGTTCTGGATGGTTAGGACATTAGGCCCCTAGGACACCTTGTCTGAAATCGTGTTTTGTACATGGAGAAACTTATGTGTTGTATGTTTATGTTGTGTGTAGTGTAGTGTGTGTTTTGTCATTGTTAATTAATATTTGTTTAACCAAGTGTCACTTTCTTCACCAAAGCTGTGCCAGAGTTGCCTTAACTATACCATATACCATATACCACTATACCGGATATATTCGTAACAAAATCCTTAAGTTGCTTGGTCAAGTTCCTGATATTTCTCTATTTTTGTAACTCCGCTTTTGAAACAAAATTATGCAGCTGACAAACATACTACTGTACATCCTATACTGATAATGAGTTATTCTCTGGTCTTCTAGATAACACCAACCAAAAATTGATTTGTCTTTTACCTTTTCTTTCCTTTAAGTATTCTGGGTCAATCAAAACAACGCCATCTAAAAGACAAGATAAAACGAAACATCTGCAATCTTGAAATGTAACACAGTCCAAAGTCCCAAAGTGCTAATACAAAAACTAATTCCTTTTGAAACGAAGTTCATCTTCACTTAATCATGCTTCATCTAAGATTCTCCTTAATAAGTCCCGAATGTTAAATTCACCTCAGTAGACACCTAAGGGGACTGTTAATTTGTTAAAATCACATAGAAGTCAAAAGCAGTCTTGCAAATGTAACACAGCTAAAGTTGTGTTAGGTCTCTGAACCCATTGCTAAATATGGCTCCAAATTGTAGGACTGGACAATACTGCAAAAATGACATTCAAAATTGTTCTTTCGTTTGTTAAACAGACAAGGTAATATTTGTAAGAAATATTTGTACAATATGGCATATTCTGGATTTTCCATCCTATATCCTTTCCTGTATAGACTACTACTCATCCAACAGTCAGATTGATTTCCCTCTCAGTGAGAACATGGCATCCATATGTTTCTGCTGGGAGATTGCTCTTATAATAATTTAACATAATCACTTGTAAAATCCCATTTATATGTACATGGTATATGCTTACCAACGGGTTCCACCACATCCACGTGGTCAACAAAGTCCCTCTTTCCAAGATACACTGTAAGCTAAAGAAATAAACACAGCAAAGATAATAGCAGAACTGCAAACAATTTGTGTTGTGTTAGTTGCCATGAGTAAGGATCATGGATCCTGGGAAGCTTTGACTTGTAAGCTTTTATTTCTTTGATACCTTTTCAAAGAAATTAAAGCCTAAAAGTTTAAAGAGCACAAACAGGCTTTAGAATCTATTTTGATGGAGAACTGAGAATCGCATGCCTGGTCGGAGCCCTGCTTACGCAAAATGAAACCTCTGAGACTCTAGCAAGTGAAACAGCCTGAAATTCAATTAAAAATATGACAAAACCAAGGAACCATATAAGTAAGAAGAAAGCAGTGTTGAATGTGCAACTGAAAGATTTTTCTTTAAAATTCATACACATTCCTTCAGTATATCATTCAGATTCTATGTCCTTCACATCCAGGTTAAAGTTGGCTTTAGCAGGGTACTGTTAGTAGAACAAAATACTCATACATCCCAAAGTGCTAATAACTCAGAAGCCGCCCAAGGGCCTGTTTATTTGTAAGATTCATGTACAAGTCAAAAGCGGGTAGCCTACATACAGAGGTAACACAAAAAGATTAGATCTCTGCATCCACTACTAAAGCTTGAGGAGTACAGGACAGGACATGACTAGGGAACTCACTTGGACATTCATAATTTTCCTTGCCTATACTAAACAGAAGAGGAAATATGTGTCATAACTAATGCATGCAATATTCAGCATATTCTAGGAGCTCATTTCCGGGTAGCATAATTATTTTTTGTAACTAGCATGTCACAAACAATATATACCTTGTTGAAACATGATCTCCTTGAATAAAAATTCAAGATCAATGAACTGCCTCTCTCTAACGTGCACAGTTATATGCAAAAATGCAATGCATTACTTAATTCCTTTCTCTCACACAATATGGCTTACCGGGGTAGATTAGTGCATTTCATATAATTTTCACCGCTGACAAGGTCTTCTCATAAGATATGTGATACTAATATGTATCTGTAAAGCTACTGTTACAGGCAACATAATAGTTTACTCTTTGCTGAAACCAAAGTAGAAACAACACTTTTGTATGTTACAATGTGTTGTGGGAATTTCACTTTTTATGTGTTGCCTTTGTATATTTCTTTTCAGCCATTAAATTTTAATAGGAAAGATTCAAAGAAAGCAAGAACTAATTCATTTGCATTTATAAAAGCAGTGAAAAAAAATCACTTGAATATGTAGCTAGCCTTGAACTTTATTACTATAATTAATGAGAATATACATTGACTTTTCTTTTCTATAATCAATATGGTATTCAAAATAGAAAAAATAAAACCTGTTTCACATAAAGTGTGACCCAGAGTTTCTTTTTGTCTTCATTACATCTTTAGGTTGCCTCAGGGACCTCAGTAGAAAATGACTTAACAGATCTCAAAGCCGGAGAACTGCAATATCTCTGAGATGACTCATGCCTTCCCATTTCATATTCTCCTCACGATTACTGCATCCTCAAGGATTAATGCAGCTTGTTTTTGCCATCTCCATTACTGAGCAGTGTTTCAGCACAAACTGATGAAGGCTACCAGCCTTTCATGCAAGAGTTTCAGCACACTCTCAGGACAACTTTGGTAACAAGGCTCCTCTGCGTTTTTCATTTCTTTGTCTCCCTAGAATACCTCTTCACAGTGAGTCAGTTGTCTATGCAGTGCAAACTCTGACATCACAACCAGCCTTTCAGCCTCCTTTCCTTAGCTGCATCCTCAAATATGGATTATACAGTATATACGATTTTATTTTTCTTTCTAGAAGTAGTTAGATATGTTTTCTTCTTTCCAAGGCATGCTCTGTATTGTGAAATTATTTTTGTCAATACAAAATGGAAGAATGCTGTGCTTTTATACTTCCCGAAGATTGGGGCTTTTTTATCTAACTTTTTTTGTCTTGTGACCTCTGAATCATTTAAAAATAATACATTGGAAATGTGTGTTTTGGCAATGTAGGCTACGGTATATAAAGGTAACTAATTCTCAGGTGCTTACAGACAATTGATGTCAGAGATGGACCTGATGTACACAAACATATTTAATGTCTTCTTAGGTCTGGAGTTTAATCATTTTGTAGGATACTGGAAATGTAACATTCTAAATAAAATTAATCAGCCCTCCAAATCATGTAATGTAATTTATAGTAGGATGCCTGTTGATATTTTCAGAACAATGTGGCACAAATTAAATTAACTTTCATATTTAAATGTGAGATGTACTGCATATGGTTCATATTGATTAGCGTGCCATTGTAAAACCAATTTCAGGGCCCCACTGTGTCATGTGTTGCATGCATTTCCTGTAATGAGCATATTCTGGCACATTGTTAGCTTCTAGTAAACATCCCTCATGTGGTTATTTTCCTGAAAATCTAGGACATGTAAATGTAGATATGGAAAAGATGATTGCAGTTGAGGCATAGTGTACATACTGTATTGTTTTCAGTGTTTTCCAGTAGTTTTAGAATATTTATTAAACTTGGTATCATAAATGAAAGGCTGAAATTTTGCAACACAGCAAAAGGTTTTGAAACTTTCTTCAGACTACACCACAAGATGTATACATGACAACCACTTGGAGAGGAAGTAATCTGTATTTGTCTAGTCTGCTAGAGGCAACCTTCTGCGAGACACAGATGTGAAGCCTCAGCCACATTTGCAGTTTGTTCCATGAAAAAGCACAAGAGCTTCTTGACAGAAGGCAAGGCCTCTGGGCTTCATTTTGTTCGATTTGAAGCACAAATAGGTTCACTTTGTACTGTAGAGAACTTTACCTTACAGGGCATTAGTTATGCACAGGCCAAGATTTAAAGATTACTCCATAAAATGATACTTCTTTGCAGCACATTTAACTTTTAAACAGTATGCTTAGTCCAGTTTTTAATTTCCAGTCGTTTTTGCAGGTGAAAAGTAACATAAAGATATTATATCCTGAGAAGCAGTCATTTGAAACAAAACATATGAATGGCGAACTAAATTCTTAGTATATGTCAGTAAATTAACAAATAAATATGATTATATTATATATTATGATATATAGTTTATATTATATTTTTAAAACATTTATAAGAAGCTTTGTAATATAAAATGTTAACTAAATTTGTATCCTATACAGTACGTTCATGAAATAAAAGAATACCCTACCTTTCCATTGGGGCTGGCTTTCTTAAAGACTCTGGAATTCAAGGAAAGGCACAGTAATTAGTCATTTTCCTTAATATTTATCTAAAAACAGGCACTTTTTATGTAACACTTTTCCATCCATTATCATTTTTCATAATGGATTATTAAATAATTGATCGATTGTATCACATGGCACTATGTAAGGATATGCTTTTCTACTTAACGAAAATCCTTTTTTTTATCCTTTGGGATGGATTCCAAAAGAATGACAGAACAACCAACAAGAGTTTAGACAAGACATGGAATAAACAGGTTAATTCCTTGAAAGGAACAACAATTTGGCTGTTAAACCATTTTAGGGGGTTTTTGGTTTTGACTTTTGTAATGTGTGTTTGAAAAGACCCTATTCTAGTAGGATTAAGGAAACATTAATCAGTTTATCATTAAGCTGCTTTCTAAAGTTTCTCCAGGTGGAATACAGAATGCTTTGTTCTAAATCCTTGGAAACTACTGGTGAATTAAATACATTAATCATTTAGACCACATAAAGACATGCTTTTAAATATGCATGGGCTACAGTTGCACTTCCCGTAAAGGCATATTGTAATGTACACACACATCCATAGCCCTCTAACGCAACTCATGATATAAATTCTGAGACCTCTGCAGATATGAGAAATTGACGATGTGAATGAGAATTCAGATTCTGTTTGGGCGAAAGTCATGCTCCCTGTTTGTTTAACAGTAGTCTCGGGACCTGGTTATGTCATTAATTCTAGGTCACATCATTAGGTGATTGTTTTGACCTATATTTCAGGAGCTTAAAGAGTTGATATACTCCTGTGAATCACTCCTAAAATGATTGGATGTGATTCAGTTGTTTTACAACCCAATTTGGCCCTTTCAGGAAGTGCACTGTATCTTCCAAAATGACAAGTGGATGTTAACTTTTCTACAGTAAATTGTTCAAACATTCTTTCCAGACAGCAAATTACTGATATGTATTTAATGTTATATTGATAGATGAATATGAGCACTTTAAAAGTAAACAAAATGCAAGTCACATACAAATGCACATAAACAATTGCTCAATGTCATCATAAACATTCTTTAAGAAATCATCACCTGGCCCAGCTGGCACAGCTATACAAAGTTTAGTAGCTAGCTACGTTTAAGGGTATAGAATTGTGTGGTGAAATTATTAAATACCTGCTTTGATACAAATTTCTATGTAAAATGATCACTTTGCTCTGCCTTGACAATCTTTCTCTGGGAGAGCAGGACCTGTATTAGATCACGAATTATCGAACTGCAGCTGTACTGTATAATGACTGTGGCAGTGTGTTATGCCTGATTTAATTTGCCCTGGGACATCTTTGATTCTAGGGTGCTAGCTGAGATATAGGTTGGCTGGAACATGTTCCAATCTTCCACCAACAAGGGAAATATGAACATATTAACAGGAAGGCTGTCCTCTTATTCTTCTTTCTAAAAGTAATAACACTAAATAAACTAATACTATAATTAATAACTTTTATTTTGGCGATTCAAATGCTGTAAATATATACTAATGGACCATTTAGATACATATTTTGGCAGCATTCTTATTTGACAAGCTCTTTATTTTCCAAAGTTGCTTAAGCTTTCTCACATACTGTACTATAGATTGTAGCCCAGAGACTTTAAAATCTGTGACTTTCAAAGTAGTATGCTACACAAAGTGATTTGAAAGCAGAGTAAAATGTAAAAAAGGCTTGTACCTTAGCACTTTCCCATCATAAGCTGTACGTTTTATAGGTATTGTTATGCATTTATCTACTTCATGTGGAAACCCAACTTCAAGAGGCAATGATGTTTTTTAAAACACCTGCCTGGGAGCCCAGTAACAAAACCAAGTCATTATAAAGGAGGCATATTCTAGGACTCTACACAAGGGGGAGACTATTTTTGGTATAACCGCTTCAGAAAGATGCCAAGCACAGTATTGAGTGTCTTCTCAGATGGCAGTCCATTGATTACTGGTAGAAACTGTGATGTATCTATAGCAATGACCTGTCTTCACCCAGCAGAAGAAAGACCTCAAGCACAGATCTAAGCAGTCAGTAGGGCTGATTGATTGAAATTATTATTTTTTAATTGATAGAAAAATTAGTACCAGAGTGTCTCTGTGGATATTATATTATATAAAAAATATATTTTTTTCTATTCAAATCACCCTGATCTCTTTCAAACTGAAGTTATTCAAGAAGTTCTAATTGAGAACCACAGTTTATACCTTTATACCTATAGTCTATAACCATAGATTATCTCTTCTCTTGAAGAAGTCTGGGAATCAGTCTCAAGCTGGTCATGAGCTCATGTCTTACATTTCAATATTAACTTATATGTTAATATCTATACATTAATATTGAAATATTGTATTCATACTGTATATACAAACTTCAAAATGAAGTTGACACAAGGTACTGAATTTGAACTATGTTTTTACTTTAAAAAGTTTGAAAAATATCTTTATTTTTTTGTCTTTATGGCTTAAGCAATAGTTTCTTTACTACAAACAATAAAAGGATTCCACTCTACACAGTAATAGTAACAAATATGCTTTTTGTACAACAAGCTTCACATGAATAGTTCATTTACATACTATTTATTGTATTTATGTTAGAATTGCCAGGATGAGTTCATTAAGAACCAGCATAAACTGTAATTCAAAAAGTACAGTATGTTTAACTAGAGAGCAGCAAAAAAAAAAATGCCTCACAAGAGGAATAAAGACAGCCTGGCTACTATCAGCATGACTGAAATCATGCTAAAATCACCTGTGAGAAATATTCCAATTCAGCAATCTGAAGAGTAATCAAGAAAAACCAGGAAACAGGAAATTATGGGCCATGTCCTAGGTAGAGGAACACCAGAATGGACCAGGGTCATCATATCAGTGTGAACCATTCATTCTCAGGCTTCAGTCACTACAGTAGAAGGACGTTCATGATGAGAGAAACCATACATCAGCTGGGAGGTATCTCTTTTAACACAAGAATACCTTTTGTGTTGTTTGAGGGCAATTTTACTGCTCCACTGATTCTGTGTTCCAGCAAGCCAATTTGAAGGCCTGGATTTTCAAGCAAATAATGCAAGACCTCACCCAGCTGCAAATACAGCAGCACAATGTCAAGAAAACAGTGTCAAGGTCTGTTGAATCAATTCTCCAAAACCATCAATAGGAGACAACCGTGACTGTCCAACCTTCAGCATGTTAATGCAGATGCACAGTAAGAGTGGTGGAAGATCTCACAGCAGGCAATACAGCAGGCAAACCACAGTGCATCACTGCCAGGAACTGTGTTAAAGCTCATTGAGATCATACCCAACACTAATTTCACGTTTCATTTTGTGTCACACAGAAATATAATCATAATTCTTTTCATTGTATTTTTCTTCTCCTTTATTGTAATATTGTCTGTTACCTATATTTAAATTATTAAAAACAGACCTGGGTGCTCACTATTTTTTTGCATCAACGTGAATTGACTTAGAAAGACACAACACAGTTGACAACTCGTCTTGTGTAATGATATCCAAATCAAAAGGTAATGCACAATTCTTCATAACAACACAGTAATGACTGTAACAGAACCTATTAATAAAACTAATATTAGTTTGATTAATAATTTTTATAGTAATAGTTTGTATTCCTATCAATAACAAATTATTAATCTTCAGACCAGTAAACTACTAACTTTTAAAAGAACAAGACAGGACAAACGGCTTAATTTTGTTTCCAGCCATTCATATGTTCATAACAAGATAGATACAAATTATTTAGCTAATACACATATGTATTGTACTTTATACAGTAATCGTAATTATATTTCACAATTCAGCTTTCTACCTTTAGAGCTGTATAGAGAGTGCACCCAAAAGAAACAGAAAAATTAACTTGATTATTTTTTCTGTTCTACTAAAGCTATTGATAAGTGTAAGGACATCTAACCTACTGTATATACAGTAAGACTCATAACTTTCACGTGACTTCCTACTGTAACTTGTTGTTTTAAATTTTAAAATTAGGCATAATGCATCAAGATGTGTATGAGAAAGTCCAGGTCTTCAATTCTAATTCATGTTCTTTTTACCTAAACCTGTTCCTTCACAGACATTTAACGGAAATGGATTCAGATGCTTATAAACTAAATTAGATTTGATATATTTTACGTTTTGAAAATGCTATTAGGTCCAATAATGTACTACTGTTGGGGACAAGCAGATTAATTTGAACTGAACAAATAAGAATCATTATCAAACAAGTGTACCAGATGAGTGGATCAAATTCTGAAGTACATTCTCATATCTCAAAATTAGTTTTTGAAACCACATAAAGATCTTTCAGATTTTATATGTTGTTTTTCCATCGGGTTGTACAGTTGCCGGAGGGTGATATTTGAGTTGTTTCAGTTAAATTATAACTGTATTTATTCTTTTCTATCAAAGTACTGTAAACACGAGCTCAACAGCATGGAAGTTCATCAATACAATTTCATTAATCCATTCCGTTTCAAAACGGTCCCACAAGAAGAGTCTTCTTTTGAAAGCCAGTTTCTTTCTAGTACAATTCTGTGAAAACTGCATACTACGCAAAACCCCACAGGTGTGCTTCTACACAAAATCTTCTTATTAGTAGTAGTTTACAGGTAGTAGATTACAGGACTTCACACTGGTCATACTGTATTAGGAAGCTGATTTAGTCTTAGTGTTTCTTTTAAAGTCTGCAGTGCTGTAGACTGCTGCCATTTTAACATTAGATAATGGCTCTAAATGCAATTACTTCAACTCCCCACCTGTAAAGCTTTACCGCTGTCATAAATTAGCACTCTTCTATTTGGGAGCCTCATTAGATTTCAGTACTGATCATATAAGCTTCCTTCACTAATGAGTTGAAAATCTCAATTGACACTGTGCAAGAAAGAAATGTACAGCAATGTTTTTAAATTCTTGCCAAGTCAGCACAGCTATCACACTATTAAAGAACAGAGATATGTGGACATCAGTAGT